TGGAGCTAATTTAAGGGCAACATGGCAATGATATTGGTTCAAAACTTACGTCGAAGTATATATCAAATCAATAATTTTCAAGGTCTTAATTAGGTAACATTTATCATACCCACATACGAATTATTCAACTTAACGTCTTGCTCGGAGTATTTTTCTGGCTCCTCTACTATTTAATTATATTCATAGAATTCTCATGTTTAGAAACTTCAAGACATTGCACCTTATGGTTTGAGCAATATTGAATTTTGCACCTCATTTTCAAAATCATTCATGGGTGCACCCCTTCAGTCCAAAAATTGTTAAGAATTTTATAATAAATTGGAGTGCATACATTAATGATTTTGAAAATATGGTGCAAAGTTAAATATGAATCAATGCAAAAAATTGGTGCAAAGTCAAATACTCAAATTCACCCAAAAATCAACCAGCTCAATTCATATTTTGTGCTAATTAATACCTGTAGTATATCTTCAGTTTATTCATATTATTCATTTTTTTCATAAGCAAGTTAATTCCCATTTGTGTTTTGAAATTCAAAATTTGATTTATACCTCGTTTAGTAATTAAGACTGAATTTTAATGGATATACCGAAGCCGTTTAAACTATGGAAAGTAGATGAATTGATATATTGAACCTGTTGCATGAACTGTGAAAAATATTTAAAATATATTTGATGAATAAAGTAACGAAAAACTACAAAATGAAAAGAATTGTTGAAACTAATTAAAATGATAATCTTCGATAAATTCAGCCCACTTTAAACGTACCTTACACACGTAGTATTTCATTATTTATCAAGTTAACGCATCGAAATCAGATTAATAAGTCCCGTAAGTAGTAAAAAAGAAAGAAAGATAAGATTAGTCAATTGATCATTATTATTTTTTGTTTGTTAACATAGAATTAGTATTAAAATTTTCATGCCATCCAATAAATGCCATGTGAGAAGACCATGCAATTATGCAAATACTCCGTATATGGCAGCATCGTTTACTTTCATATTTATGCTATAGTAAATTTGACATAAGGGTTTGGACGGTTTGATAATGATACTTCCCTTTGGACTGAACTGCATATCATATACGTATGAAGTATAACAAAATAATACTTCCCTGTAATAAAACTGACGTTAAAACATTTTTTTACAAATTCATACGTCCTCGGTTTTCCCCACGTAACCGACATATATAATAGCTCACATTTTAGAAATTAAAAAAAAAAAAAGATTTAACGTCGGTTTTTGAACCGACGTCATATATTATTACCTATAACGTCTCTCACTTAGACAACCTAACATAAACCGATGTTAAATGTCTAAAATAACCGACGTCTTACGTGCTTTGTGTAGTACGTAGTGCCATCTCTACAAATTTGGTCATATTTATTTATTAGAATGATGTAAATAAATAAATAAATATATAATTGAAACCAATATTACTAATACAGAACTAATGAAAACGTACTTATAAATTAAGGCTCCAATATTGCTATGACGTACAATGGCCATAAATAAAAATGTGAATACTTTTTTAAGTAATATAATAAAAGTGTTTAATATGTCGCTAAGAATATTACCGGGAATATGATTAAAAAGGTTTGAAAATTCCAAAATAGGATTGTCATGTTTTTATTCCTAAAATAGGACTAATTACTATTATGTTTTGGCAGTACCAGATTTCAAACATGACAATATTTTCCAAACTTGACAGTAGTAATTAGTTCTATTTTGGGAATAAAAAACATGACAGTTCTATTTTGAAAATTTCAAACTGTTTTAGTCCTATTTCAGGAATTTTCCCTTTTAAATATTATGATAAAACTATTACTGATTCAGATCCTCTGCCATAAGGCAGAGTGCCTTGCGGCATCCGACGGCAGAGAGGGGATGAGGACGACCTCGAGATCGGGGAAGGAGTGGAACCCAAGATCTTTAACAGTCGAATTTCCGATCGAACGACCCGGAAGAGCCGGACACCCTACCTTGCTTTAAAGCAAGACAGAAGTTCCGGATCCAACTATTACGTAGTAATACGTAGTATATCACACTGATATCGTTCCCCACTTGTCCTGGCCTGTTACAGTTAACGGTCTCATCGATAATCTAATGTATTCGATATTGTTTAAATAATATTCCGTACAATATACGAAGTAATTAGAAGGCGATTGATTTTGTCAATTCTAGCTAGGTTATAATTTACTGATGTTGAATATATTATTAGTTAACCCTGATGTGGATCGGAAAACTCTTACAAATCTAACGTCGGCAAACCATGCATAATCAGGATATAAATAAAGTATAATTAATGGTAATAGTAGTGTAGGAGTGTTTGGAACGGATTCTGTTTCTGTTTTTTTTTTAAAGAGAAGCAGAATCAGAATCAGAACCCGTTTTCAGCTGGTCTCCCTCAGCTAGGGCTAGGTCCGAAAAACCAAAAACCGAATTAAATTATACCGAATCGTACTCAAATAAAACCGAACCGCTAACAATCCAAAACCGAATGTAAAAAACCGAACCGAATCGTAGTTGTTTGATTCGATTTTGGTTTTTACCCTTCAAAACTGAACCGAACCGAACAAACCGAACCAATTAAAATATAAAATTTATTTGTCAATGGTTAAACAATAATCCTATGAAAGGAAACCTATCAAAATTTAGTTTGATACAGACTGACTAAAACCGATCCCAAATCCAGAACAAATACGTAAGCTAAAGGCCTAATTCCTTAGGAAGGAACTGAAATTATGATTGATTATGAATCATCTTTGAAATCCATAACAGATTCCAAAACAAACACGTAGCAATAATAATGATGTATTCCAAAACAGATTTCACCGCTTTTAGAAAACTTCACCGGATTCCAAAACACAAATTAGATCGGTATATGTCGGTTGATAATATAGAAAGATAACATATTGCACCACTTAATGATTCCATATATGTCAGTTGACACAGAAAGGAAATAAGATCCGTAACAATCGAAATAAAAAATTGGAACATAGCTAAACTCTGGAGCAACCGAAGAACAGAATCCTTTCAAGAAGCTAATGGATTCAATCGCAATATTGAAAAACGTGTTTCGCTTAATCATCAAGCCAATCAAACGAATACAACGAATACTCCAATCGGCAGGTTATAAGACAAAACAAAATCCAAAAAATCAATCGTTTAAGATTGAATAGAAAGTATGAAAACTCCAAATAATTAAATCAATATGACGAAGGCCTCTGATACCAATTGTTGGAATAAATCCATGAATACTTTAATCTTCAGATCTGTAGAGATTTGGGAGACGGAGGCTAGAGTTTGTGTCTTCTAGTTGATACACACTCTGTCTCTAGCAATGAGATGCAGAAAGACGGAATGACGTGTTCAATTAGGGACCATAACCCCTCTATTTATAGAGAATGCTTAACCCTAATCAGCCCATCATTAATTAGGTTAAGCCCGTGAGTCTCTACACATTTGGGCCCTATACCTTATTTGATAACTTATTAGCCCACTTAAATTAATATCCATAAGACCACTAATTTTTGGGCTAAATATAAGATAGCATATAACATACAATTAAACCGAATAAATAATATATTATGAATACTACATGTAGTTATGAGTCCAATAATCTAACATAGGGGTGTTCGGAACAGATTCTGCTTCTGTTTCTCCTTTTTTTTTAAAGAGAAGCAAAATCAGAATCAGAACCCGTTTTCAGCTGGTCTCCCTCAGCTAGGGCTGAGTCCGAAAAACCGAAAACCGAATTAAATTATACCGAATCGTAATCAAATAAAACCGAACCGCTAACAAACCAAAACCGAATGTAAAAAACCGAACCGAATCGTAGTTGTTTGATCGGTTTTGGTTTTTACCCTTCAAAACCGAACCGAACCGAACAAACCGAACTAATTAAAATATAAAATTTATTTGTCAATTGTTAAGCATTAATCCTAACTAATCCTAATATCATTAATGGTCTTTGGTTTTCTTGTACTAGAGAAATAATGTTTGTGTTATGTTTTGTTTAGTTTAGTTTATAAAAAAAATGTTTTTGTTATGTTTAGTTTAGTTTAGTTTATAAATTCATTTACACATTCATTGCCTGTAATAATGTAGCTATACTTGAATGATGATAATATGTTTTTACTAGTTATTAGTATTATTTTACTTTTATTTTTATTTAACTTAAAGAACTCATATTCATGAAATAATAAGTATTAATCTCAACTATATCACATAGAACATATATACTCATGAACTTTTTTTAACTAGTCACAAACAATGTAAATTAGTAATATATATACTTTTATCTCTCTGGCATACTCATATAATTCAAGACATATTTATTTATTTTCATTTTTATTTTATTTGTTGTAGTGTGCTTGCATTCTTTGTGTAATATGTTTGATGCCTCAAAGCATTATTCGGAGTATCAAATTTAAATCAAATGATAATTTTTTGGTAAAAAACCGAAAAAAACCGAAACTGAATCGAAACAAACCGAACCAATCAAACCGTGATTCCAAGTTTTTGTGTAAAACCGAACCGAAACCGAAACCAAAATCGAACGTTTTACTTTGATTCTATATTTGGTTTTAGGTCAAAACCGAACCGCAAGAACCGAACTCACGTACCCCTACCCTCAGCTTCTAAAAAAACCGATTCTAAGAATAAATTAAGGCACCAAAAGTAGTTCTGCACTTTCACCTAAACACTCAAAAGTCTGCTTTTTGAGAGAGCATAAGCGGTTTTAAGGATGAGAACCAAACACCCCTAAGTCACATTTAATCAAACGCGCGTAGTTAGTCAAACGTACAGCAATTCTCCATATGAATCTCAATTTCAACTACAACATCCCAAGGAAGCACCACGTGTCTAGCTACGTAATTAGTCAATGCCACTAGCTGCTATTAATTTTGCATGTAACAAAAACTTAGGTAGCTAACTCCCATCCTAGCTAGCTCCCCTATAAATACACGCACTAGCTTAGCTCCATTATATATATCAAACCTAAGCTAGCTTTATCAATAACATATACGTACTATCTATAATTTCTAGTTGCTGGGAAAATAAACATATATAATTTGAACGTAGAAGCTAGCTAGGCTAGCATTTCAACGAAGTAAATGGCCACCACACCAGGCTTCCTCACGGACTGGCCTTGGAGACCACTAGGAACTTTTAAGGTTTACTCTATAATATATTTTATTTGTTTTTTTAATTTTTATGCAGGGAATTAATTAAATACTCACGTACATGCCTTTCTTTCTTGTGAGACTTGTTTTTATTTTTAATAAAAATTAATGAATTCAATCTCTAGCTACGTACTTCACATATACTTCGTATATTTTTTATCAGCATCATGCGTTAACTTCTTTTAACAGTTAAATAATGTCAATTACGTTACGCAGTATTAAATTTTATTGTAGATGATGACTTCTTTTTAATTTTAGAGTCTGTTTGGCAATTTTTAGTTTTTAATATCAGCAAACCTTTTTTTATTAAAAACTTAGTTTTTTATTTTGCATGACGATAGTAATTAAAGTTAATTTTCTTGCTGAAATGACTAATTAAATTTGACCGATGTAGATGACTACTCTAATAGAAGCTAGCTAGGCTAGCATTTTATATAATATTGCGTATTAATACACCTCTTATAAATAAAATATATTTTTCCATAGCTAAGCGGATTCGACCAATTTGGTTGTTTCAACAAGAATGGATGTTACTAATTTGAGTAGATTCAGGCAAGTTGAGTATTACTAAATGAGTTCTTAATCATTATAGGCAAATCTTAAACGTGAAAGGTGAGTTTGAAGTGTCTATTTTGTAACAAATTTATTAATTACTACGGCACTTAATTATATACATACGATAATGACTTCATGGAGTACGGATTTTGTGTAATTAAGTGAAAATATGAGTTAATTTAATGATGATTTTGTCTATATATTTAATAATTTTTAATTTATTCTCTTATGTATTGTTTGTAAAAGTACGTGCTATTGGCTCCATGGGTAGCACACAGTGTGTATAGTTTTGTGACAAGTAAGGAGGAGAGTGAAAGGGACTACACAAACTTGTTGGTTTTCCCATTCCTTCTCTCCCGCATCCTTCACAACCAGCTCTGGATCAGCTATTCCCGTCACCGGACCGGCACCGGAAAAAACCGAATTCTCGACAAACCTATCGAGTTTGATCAAGTTGATCGTGAAAGCAACTGGTAAAATCATTTTGCATATTATATCTCTTCTTATTATGACTTCTGGTTTTAACTCAAAAACTTATACAGTATTATATCTCTGAGTATCTTGTTAGGTTTTACACAATATTTAATTACGGAGAAAATAAATAAAATAAAATAAAATACTCCGTATACTACTAATTAATGAAGCGGAAAATAATGAAAAAATAGGCAAAATAAAATAGTTTATAGAAGTAATATGATAGTACAAGTGAAAGTATAAGAGAAATTGCCCTGAATATGAGTAAAAAAGGTTTTGAAATTTCGAATAGGACTATTGTGTTTTTCTCTCGAAATGTAAGTCGTTACTGCCATGATTGAAAAATACTATTTATTACGTACTGTCATTAATAATACAAGTAATAAATACTATAGTACGTACTACCATGTGGAATGCAGAGTACTGCAACTATTTGACAATAATGATTACTCCCTCCGTCGCTAATAACTTTGCCAAGTTTGACCGGCACGGGGATTAGTAAAGTAAAAACTGTGTGGTTGAGGTTTGTGCAGAGGAGAGAGAATTAACTGGAACCACAAATTCTTTACTTAAATGGGAAAGTGACAAAGTTAATGGGATATCCAAAAAAGGAAAGTTGGCAAAGTTATAAGGGACGGAGGGAGTATAAGATATGATAACAATAAACAGTGTTATGTTACTCCTATTTCAGGAAGAAAAACATATTATCGTAGTAGTCATATTTTGGAATTTCAAACGTATTTACTCCTATTCCGGAAAATTCCCTTGATAGAACGTTACATATTTTTTTTTATAGGAAAAGATTACTAAAAGGATCGGAGTAATATGGACAAATAATGAAAAGTAGTATTGTTTCAACTACTATTACTATTACATATTTTTTTTTATAGGAAAAGATTACTAAAAGGATCGGAGTAATATGGACAAATAATGAAAAGTAGTATTGTTTCAACTACTATTACTATTACTGCTCCCTCCATATTAATTAATTATTTTTGAACTAAAAAACTTAATTAAATGTATGATTTTTTTGTTTTGTAATTTGTAGACTACAGTTACTTATAATTACGTGAATGTTGCTTTTGCATGCATGCAGGGACGATAATATTATGTTAAGTGGGTTATTAATTTATGTGTTCAACGTTTTGACATCAAAGGCTTCACAATTGCCGGCATGGCGCCTAGACGGCTTACTGATAACGGTTCTCCTCCATGCTGGTCCCGTGGAGTTCCTTTATTATTGGTTGCATAGGGCTTTGCACCACCACCATCTCTACTCCCGCTATCACTCCCACCACCACTCCTCCATTGTCACCGAACCTATTACTTGTATGAACAATATTTTAGATGTGCTCTGAAATTGCCAGAATCGACTGAAACTATTAAAATTATTGAAATTGCGGTAAAAACATGCAGCTGAAGTAATTGAAATTGTTGAAATTTCGATTGAAGGAACTGAATTGATTTTTCTTGATCAATGACAATCAAGTTTGACCATTGATATTTTTTAATATGAAACTATTTAGAATATGAAAATTATATCAAAATGTTTCTTATTCAAAATAATTTAATAAAAGTATAAAATTTATAAATCATCTATAAGCATAATAATTAAAATCGTCCTCCAAAGGTTGTCATAATTGATCAAGAAAAGTCAATATGGCGATTTTTCGGGACATAGTAATATATATAAATCTAAAAATATACTGAGTATTTCATTAATATAATAATAAAATTATATGAATGCGAACAAATTAAAGTTGAAAGATTATTTTTGTGTGACACATGCGTATTTATTTTAATTACAGCGGTGATTCATCCATTTGGAGAGCATTTGGCGTACTTTTTGTTGTTTGCAATTCCGATGCTAACAACCGTGTTCAGTGGAACTGCATCCAACGTTGTCCTTTTTGGCTACATTACATACATTGATCTTATGAACAATTTGGGACATTGCAACTTTGAGTTCATACCTACATGGCTCTTCTCCATCTGCCCCCCTCTCAAATACTTGATGTATACACCATCGTAAGTACAATTTGTCACTACAACTTCAAATGAGATCTTACCTCAGTTGTTGTATGTCCATTTGTTTTATCCAATTTAGATTTTCATGTTATTTATAAAAAAAGAAAAGATTTTTTTTCTAAAATTAATAGGAGTACGTAAAAATGTTATGGAATTCCAAAATATGAGTACTACGACTTTATTCTCTAAGTAGAAGTAATTATTGTCAAGCTTGGAAAAAACATGTTTAAGACCTACAGGTAGTGGCAAAACATGACAACCATTACTCCTTTTTAGGAAATAAAAGCATAGTAGCTTTCTTTTAGAATTCACAAATGGTTTTACTCATATTCAGGGCAACTCCTTAAAAGAAAATCTTGTGCTTGAAAGTTAATTAAGAAGAAGGAAATTGAATATATGTGTTCCTTATTTATTTTAACATTTTCAATGTTTTATTCCTTTTCTGAAAATTTCCTATTTATTTTTACAAACAAACATATTATAATATAGAGGTTCTTACTTGAATATTTCGTTTCCAAATATATAAATGACTACATTCAGATGTGGATAAAAATGTAACTCACAAAGTAAACTAAAATTTAAAAACTATGCAATGTCGTGATAGTTTTCAATATCACAGACCCAAGCCAGTGGTTGGTCTTATTATCACCGTTGAACATGTCACACTGACCATCAACGACAAATTTCGACAACTTCATCTGATGGATTTTACAAAAAGGTTTCCAAGAACACAATCGACGGTGATCGATTTCCAATGACATTTATAAATTTTCGTTTAATTAAATACTTTTAGGATTGTGGCAACGAAAGGGTGGGTAGTTGAGTAGAAGTTGGAGGTACTATAAATTTGAGTTAATTCAACTTATGAATTTGGAAATTACCTACATCTTTGAATAAAAACCTATCATTCGTTCTAAAGTCTATTGTCATAGCATGCACTTTCTCCAAATACAAGCAAATCGATATTCGATTGATCATAATTCAGTTAGGATATTTCATTTGAATTGATCATATCAAATCAAAAGTTCAAAGCTTACTAAATCAATTTAGTTAAAATTAGAGCAGATTTAGACAAATAAAAATTTTCAGAGCTAGATAAGAAAATGGAACCAATTACATCCTTTTTTGTACAAGAACCAATTACATCCTTAATGCACATGTTGGTACAAATGCATACTATATATAATTAATATAATATGTATGTAGGTACAAACAAAAACATCATATGTATGTCGTACATCCAAGTGAAAACATCATTAATTTATGTGGATACAAATACATAGTATATATAATTATACATAATACTGCATGTGTGGGTACGAACAAAAACACACACAATTAACATGGATCAACTACTTAAAAACATATTATTGCATATTGTACAGGTACCATTCGCTCCATCACACTCAATTTCGAACCAATTATTCACTTTTCATGCCATTTTACGACTACATGTATGGGACAATGGATAAGTCAACACATACATTATATGAAACATCTCTCAAGAAAGAAGAAGATTCCCCTGATTTAGTCCACCTCACACATCTAACAAATCTAGAATCTATATTCTTTCAAAGGATTGGGTTTTCGTCTTGGGCATCCTTTCCCCAGAGACAAAAGTGGTACTTTTGGTTGATGTCTCCAATCACATATTTTACCATGATCATGAACTGCATATACGGTCAAACTTTCATCGCGGAGAGAAATGTTTTGGGCAAAATCAAGTTGCAATCTTGGGTTATACCAAAGTACAAAGTTGAGGTATGCTTGCATGTGAGTTCAATATTTTGAATAGTAAGTAAAGAAGTTGTCTTAAGTAGGAGCAAAAAATTGTGATTCTCTTAAATTAAATAATGTACTTTGTTCCCCCACAAATAAGAGTATGTATCATGAAATCACACTGACATGCTAAGATCATATTGCTACCATTTTATTATTTGATAATGTCATAATATGACAATATGATTTTAGAATGATAATACTTAACTCCTATTTTGTGGAGAAGAAAAAACACAATACTCATGCTAGATAAAATAACATTATTTTTATTCCTACTTTGGAGTACACCACTAGCTTAGGTAGTAAATATAAGTTTGTTCATTAGTTTATATATGTATCTATTTATTTGCAGTACCTAGTTAAATGGCAATCACAAATGATCATCAACAACTTGATTGAGAAAGCTATATTGGATGCAGAAGCAAAAGGTGTCAAAGTGTTAAGCTTAGGTCTTCTTAATCAGGCAAGTTATATACTTCATTCCATTCAAATCATGACTCATGAGTGTTTGTTTATCTTTACTTGTTCACTATCAACTCACACTTGGGAGGTCCATTATATTAAATAAGTGACCTACAAGGCAAACTCTCAACTTTTTATATTAAATAGTAACTTAATATATTGAATTGTTATGGATTAATTAGCTGATGGAAAAAAATTTGAATAACTCTTACCAAATGAGAGCTAATGAAATAAGTAAAAGTTAATATCTACTTTATTTCAAATTATTATACACGATATTATGGAGTATGAATGAATATGTTTAAAAGGTTGAATTTTAATTATTTTTTATTTTACTTCATAAAAAATGTTTAAAATGCCTTAAAACATGTTTTCTCTATAATACAATCTATTCATTTGTGTTCTCATCAAATTCAACTATTCCAATAGCTTTGACTAAATTTTACCATTACAAAAACTACTAGGCCACTCATTGCCACTTGAAAAAAATTCACTTTCATGCTTTGAATGTTGCTAGCTAGATAAAATTAACTTTTCTTTTTTGAGATTAACTTTTTCTCGTAAAGTAAATTACAATTCCTATTCTCTATGAAGTATATATATTAAAAGGAGTGATATATAATACTACCTCCGTTCCGAAAAGGTTCGCCATATTGACTTTTTCTGGTCAATGATGACAGATTTTGGACAATGATTTTAATTATTATATTTGTATATAATTTAAATAATTTTATGAAAATATTTTGAATAAGAAATATTTTGATATAATTTTCATATTCTGAATAATTTTTTATTAAAATATATCATTGGTCAACATTGATTATCATTGACCAAAAAAAGTCAATTTGACGAACTTTTTCGAGACGGAGGGAGTAACTATTTTGTATATAAAACAAAAGTTTAGAAAAAAAGATCTATACATTAAAAGGTTGGTATAGAGAATAATATTTATGTGTGAGTTTTGCTTCTCTTCAGAGTGAAGAGCTCAACAACAATGGAGAGATTTACATCCAAAAGCACAAAGATTTAAAAATAAAAATTGTGGATGGAAGTAGTTTGGCAAATGCAATAGTGGTCAACACGATTCCAAAGGAAACGACAGAGGTTCTTCTTATAGGAAAACTCACCAAAGCCTGTCTCTCCTTAGCTTCAACATTAAGCCAAAGTGGCATCAAGGTAACTAAACTCAATCATCAATATTAATTATAATCTCAGAGAACGTAAACAAATTATTGTTATTATCATTAAAAGTCGATCATTGGGTTATTATTCATGTTTTATTTTATTTAATTTATTACAGGTTGTTACTTCGTGTAAAGACAATTACAAGAAGCTTAAGCTCAGATCTAATTGCCAAAGTAACTTTGCTTTGTCAGAGAGTTTCACACAAAAGGTAAACAAAAAATAAAATTTGTTAAATATGGTAATTAAGTTTGAGATGTGCAGGCAAGACAAAAGCTCCCCCCCCCCCCCCAAAGAAAAAAGTGTATAATTTAATTGTAATTTTTATTTTCGTATTAATAGAGTACATATTATTAGCACTTTTTTTTTCAAAAATATTACTACGGACTAAAATAAACCTTATGTACACAAATATGACTAATAGTTACTAAAGTGCAGTGTCATGGTAACTTACGTTTAAATATTGAACATAAGTGGCTATGATTCAATTACTACTCTAACCACAAATCATATTTTTGTAAATAATCTTTATTTTAGTCATAAATGTGTAATTATTTCGTAATATTAAAGTGTTAAATATCTCAATTAAATAATTATTTTTATATACTTTAAAATTCTCACAACCAATTTACTCATTAGATGATTATTATGGTGTAACTAATGTATTTGTAATTTAATTAAGTAATGAAATTAAATGGTTAAAACAGATATGGTTAGTTGGAGAAGGACTCACAGAAGAAGAACAAAATAAGGCAATGAAGGGAACATTGTTCATCCCTATATCACAATTACCTCCCAAGAAATTCCGTCATGACTGTTTCTATCATTACACTCCAGCAATGTTAGCCCCACCGTCCCTTCAAAATATGCATACTTGTGAGGTACTTATAATTAACCTTTTTTTTGGGAATATGTTTATCATGAATTTTAACGTACAAATTTTTACTATACCAAAATCACAATATATAGGTCGAAATTCATATGTGCAGGATTGGCTACCAAGGAGGGTGATGAGCGTTGCACGAGTGAGCGGGATTGTACATGTTTTAGAAGGATGGAACGTGCACGAATTCAGTGGCGAGACAATGTTGGATATTAATAAAATATGGCTATCCACCCTTAGTCATGGTTTCCAACCACTCCCATTGCATGGACATTGATTTAATGCAGAATTTCATCTAATTTCCTTCACATGTTTAATGTTGTACTATTCCTTTCGATCAAGTGTGTTAAAATTTAAATACATTATTAGAACATATGTGTGGGATGGATCTTATATTTCCGGGGCACCTTTTGTGAGATAAGAACAATCGAAGTTAAATGCACTTCATTATTAGTTGAATATGTACTATATTATCTTTGCATCTTTTATTTCAAAATCATGTAATATTGTATCATAGTCAAAGTTCTATATAGATTTTCACGCACACAAGGCACATGAAAGTATTTAAATTATTGAGCATTTTGTCATGCACCACTACAAAAAAATTATCAATTGCAATTTAGAAAACTTCTCTTGGGCCATCTCTAGTGAGCGGGCCCTAGGCAAAGCAATGAAAGTATAGATGAGATTACATATTGGAATGTAATCATGGACTCAATCCAGAATGCTAGGTGGACCACAAGTCTATTACTACATATTTGTATGTTATCATTTACATTGTATGTATGTATTAGTATCTTTAGAATTGAATATATCTTATAAGTAGTACGGAGTAATATTAATAAGGGTGCACTACTACAAAAATAAACTTTGAACTCCTGTCAAAACACCTCTTATGTGTTTGCCTTTGATGCAACACATAAAGTAAGGCAACTCTTGTATCACTTTTTATGCGATGTGATAGCTTTATAAATCGCTTATTTGAATGATGCATTCACGTTTTGATGCAACTCAAGTTTTTTATTAAAAAAATATGGGCATAAGCGTCACGAGTGTGAATGAAGCGACTCATAAAGTTTTGTGCTTTGAAACATGAGCATACACAATACAATCTCAAAAGTTAATTATTCTCTTAGATTTTAATTGCTATATACTTCGATGTGGTTCTTTTGATTTTGCCCAATCGGTAGTCTATGAGATCAGACCTCTATATTGTCAATTTCGCTTGCACTTAGGTCATGCCGAAGTGACATGTCCCCAAAAGGGAGGGCCTAAGGAAGCTGCTCAGGATAAATGGATGGTAAAAAAGTCTACTCCTAAGGACCAGCATACAATACTTGCTGAGGGCGGGGGGTAAAGGAGATGGAACAATCAGTTACTCAAAAAAAAATCATGTTCAATCACAAATTAAGATTACAGACGAGGACAAGGACATGAATACAGTTTATAAGGGCAAGCATAAAGTGTTTGAGGTAATATGTATGCCCTCCGCTGGACCTGGAAAACAAGATCCTCATACCTCAACTGGACCTTCTGGGCAACACAATCTTCAGCCCTCATCTATCAACTCTCAGCTCTTAGCTGGAAGCCAGGAAACACAACTCTCATATTTAGATGTAGAAGAAGTCTACACTGAAATTCTTGCTCCTATACCTGTGCTAGTTCCATAATACAATGAACATAACACATCAGAAGCTATGATGCATAACAAGGAGAGTTCATAGGTGCAGAAGTTACCTTGTTTGGAAAGAGGTGCTGATGATTATAACCTTTTGCAAATTATTCGGCGCAATTCATATGATCCAACTCTTTGTGCAAAGGGATGTTATTCTGAGGGTGATTTTTGCTTCATAGAAAAGGTTGATAAATGGAAAGCAGGACATGATGAATTACCAAGGAAGGTGGCCATTAATGTTAATAGATCTAAAGATCCCCAGTCACGAACACAGGAGGATTGGTTAACAGATCTTGATTCTAAATTTAATGATGAAGGGTTCAATAAAGTAGCAAGAAAAAAAATGAAAGTCTACTCAAATTGTTCCAGATACACCAAGGTTTATCAGAAATGCTTCTAAACAGCTTTCACATGCTTTTCTCTCCCTCCCATGATGAATTGTCTATTATGGAATGTCTGTGGCCTTGTATCTTCCTGTCCAAGGTTACATGGTCTCATTAGTCAATGGAGAATTAGTTTGTTAACCGTTATTGAGTCTATTGTTGATGTAGCAAGGATTCAGTCTATTTGCTTAGACCCGGGTTTACAAAATTACTTTTTCTGTCCTGATAATAAATTTTGGTTGTTTTGGGACTCTTTTTGAATATTGTGTTTTTTTACTCCAGGGGGGATCTGGGGGAGGGGGGCTGGGGGGAAGCTTGGAGTAATCATGACTGAAACTAAGGATGGCAATGGGGGTGGGGCCCCGTGGGGAACCGCCCCGTTGGGGGGAGTTGGGGCGGGTGGTGGGGTGGGACGGGTGGTGGGGTGGGGGAGTTATTTTCTCCCCGCTTAAATATGGGGCGGGTGATGGGTTATGCACCCCCCGCACCGTCCCCGCCCCGTCCCCTGTAATAATTAATAATAATAATAATACTAATAATAATAGTAATACTAATACGAAGTAATTAAAATAGCATGGTGGCCCGGTGGGTTTAGTGGTTTAATTTCCTATCTAATGGATTGTGCCTAATGGGTCTATCTAATTCTTGTTTAATAACGTAACTAAGCTATCTTGTAAAATTGCTTATCAAAATCATAAAGTAAAATGATTTTTTTAGGGATAAAGTAAAATGAATTTGGGAAAGTTGTAAAGTGATATTAGCTTAAACACCCCAGACACGGTGTGAATGTTTTCTTCCTTTACTATTACAGAGCATTAATTCTTTTCTTATGAATGTCATCTTTATGATTGTAGTTAGGGCTCTTAAAATCTGGTGATCATAGGTCGTCCTAGATGCCGTCAAATGATCATGATTGATTGAATGCATGATTTAAGAAAATATTATAGAGCTAATCAATGCTAATAAAGTGTTTGATAAAATGACTAAATTAAAACATGTATAATGTGTTCTAGATTTGAAATGGGATGTAAGATTACATTGACACTTAAAAGTAAAAGGTGTTTTGGCTACTAGAAGTGTTGTTTAATTTTTGAAAAATTGTCAGAGTCTAAAATGATGTTAATTTTTGACAAGTACTTCCCCCGTTGGGTACCCGTGGGTCTAGCGGGTCGGGGCGGGGATGGGGCGGGTTGAATAGTAGTGGGGATGGGGCGGGGGTGGGGGCAATTTTTTAGACACGGGGCGGGGGATGGGGGAGTGAACCCCCGCCCCAACCCCGCCCCATTGCCATCCCTAACTGAAACTCATTCCATTGAGTTTCAAACTCTTATGTGCCTAGCGGGTTTCGAACTCGAGTAGACCTGTACAAAACCGGGCCGGCCCGCCCGGCCCGCCCAGCCCGCCCGCACAAATTAGCGGGCTTGGGCATATATATTTACCCACCGGCCCGGCCCGGGCCCGGCCCGCAACAACATATGGGCGGGCTTAGGTTAGGGTGTAAGCCCGTTCGGGCCGATAAGCCCGGCCCGCTACATTTAGTATATATACATATATATTTTTATATATACTAATTTATGTATTTATTTACATGTACACATGTATATTTTTATATTTACTAATTTATCTGTATACATATTTATAGTTTATTATGTTTAAATTTAAGTTTTTAGTTCTTAACAAATAGTCCAACCAATATAATATCTATTTTTGTACTTAACCATAATACTTTGTGCATGAATTTTAAATTTTAGATATAGTTTGTCATTATTATTTTTGTGTAAATATTTTTTGTGTATGTGATGAAAGGCCTATATACATTATAATTGTATTAGCAATTTTTCAAATGTTGTAATATTATTTATAAAGTATTAAATAAATTATATAATTTTGAAAAATTTAAAGTCTTCCCGGGCCCGGCGGCCCGGTGGACTACCCGGCCCGCTCTTACGGGCGGGTATGGACATGGGGTTAGGCCCGTTTTTGCGGGCCGGGCCGGGCCCGCCCACACACGATGGACAGAAAACTTATGAAAAGCCCGGCCCGAGCCCGGCCCGAACCCGCTTTTGTGCAGGTCTAAACTCGAGACCCCTCGCTAGGCACGGTAACCTCACAACTAGCTGGGCCGGAATGCTTGGTTAACTCTCTTTGAATATTGGTATTTCTGGTATTTCATGGAGTAAGCAATATACTCATCTTAAAGTCTATGTTATTAGAACCGGACCGGACTGGGCGGGTCGACCCAGAAACCAGCAACCCAGCACCTTACCTTATCCGCTTACACACAAACCCATAAATGTGTGCAAACCCGGAAAACCCCGCTAGCCTGTTCTGACCCGGGGCGGACCCGGGACCTCCCAAACCTGGAAAACTGGCTATTTCACCCAAGAACCGGCATAAATGCAAAAGTTTACACCGCTGGGATTCGACCCCACGTCTGGTGGGAAGAGAAGCAGCCAGCCCTCTACTATACTACTTATTCCATTAGCATAAATTTTAATTTCTCATGCACTCCGTATTATTTAATATAAACACTTAATATAATAATTTATATGATTGTTATTATCTAATTATATATTTTTTATATTTCACTAACCTCTTATGTATATAAACTATCAAATACAAGTAAAAAATACTTATATGTTATTTTTAAGATTTTGTAATAAATATAGTTATGTTAATATTATGTTTTTGAGAAAGTACAATGTTCTTGAATATTCATACCAGACACATAATTATGTAAAAAAATAAAATAACATTATTGATATAATTAGACTTAGACTATACTTTCGAATATTATTGTTGTGTTTTCAATGCTTACTAGTATTATAATTACTTGATTATTGTGTACTATAATTACCTGTTTTTTAATTTTACATATGGTTATGTATTTATAAATATACGTAATTAAAAATGTTGACCAGGTTTTCCCGGTGTTGACCGGGTTGACCTGCCGGGTCCGGGCTGACCCGTGACCCGGCCATTCGTCCAGATCGCTTCCCGGACCGGTTCTTGTAACATAGCTTAAAGTGTCTACTGGGAGCTTCTTTTTTGGTTTACATTTGTCTATGAAGACCATAGTTATATTAAAAGGAGACAGTTATGATCATTCTTGAATGGTTGGGCAAGTTGTAACTTCTAACAGAGAATCGTGGATTGTGGGGGAAGATTTTAATGCAATTGTTGCCCATTCTGAACATAAAGGAAACTCGTCACCTCTATTGGTTAGTATGGTTAAATTTAAAGATTGTATTTCATATTGTGACTTAGTGGATCTCCCTTTTTTTATTTAAAGATTGTATTTCATACACTTGGACCAGAAACATAAGAAATGGAAGAGTGTGGCATAGATTGGACATAATATTAATTAACTCCTCCTTTTTGGATCTTTTATACTCTATTCAGATTAATCATCTAAATAAAATTTCATCATATCACAACCCTATTCTCTTACAATGTAAAAATACCTTAGTCGTCAGACCTAAG